ATATATATATATATCCTTGAGCAAGTTGGTCAGAAACAAATGTGTTTATGTACCTTGTTACCGGAAATCGAGTGCAAAAAGTTCCCAAATCGCGTTTTGCCAAAGGTCCACCCACTGGCGCCAGCGTCCGAGTCGCTGCCAGACACGCTGTCGGTGCCTTCTTCTTCTTCATGGTCGTCGTCGACGCCGCCGCCTTCCTACGTATCGACCCCATCATAGGTGTGTCAATGCCTATATATATATATATGCATGTACGCCAATGTATTCCTTTCGCTTTTCCGCCAACGACGCGGCTTCTTCGTCCACGTTCAGCTGTTCCACGAGCAAGTGCATGAGACCAAGGGAGCGAACTAGTTACGACGGGGTACCTCGCGTGACCGATCCAATCCTGCCATGTCCTTCTTGGAAATGGTAGCCTTCGGGTCGTGCCACACTGTCTTGACCTTGTTGTTGCTGCCCTTGGCTGGTTCTACACAGTGATTCGAGACAGTTTGAGACATGAGTGTGACCAACGGCGTCGTACCGTCGGTGTCCTTCTTGCCGCCTTTCTTCTTGCCGGTCCGTGGACCCGTGCGCATCGTCTTGGGCTGTTTCGAGCCGGCCCCGACAAGCTTGAGTTCGTGCTTGAGTTTCTCCAACTCGTCCCCGTCGCCATCCACATGAGCATTTTGCGTGAGTTCGATCTCCTTGGACGACACGACCGCAGGAGCATGCGTTGCGACGGGTCGTTTGGATTTCAAATGCGCGGACTCGACGTCGCGGAGAATGCGGTCAAACGTGCTGTCGAACGACGCAATCTGAACGCGAGTGCGGATTTCGTCGGCAAAGCTGGCCACCACCTCGCGCTTGAGCCGCTCGAGAAGCTCGTCGACGTACAGCAATTGCAATACCTTTTGGTACACGACGACCAGCACGAGTTGGAGTTTGTTCTCCAAGCTCCATCGCATCTGGTACGATTCGTAGTTGAATTCTTTGCGTCCAAGGCGCTCTTCCAATAACACCGTCTTGACCAACTGGTCCACAGGGTTCCCTCGGAGCTTGCACATCGAGCGCGACCATAGCACGGTGCCGCTTTGGCTGAAGATGGACACGTGGTCAAGCATGGTGTGGAGTTGTTGTCAATCGATGTCTGTGGAAGAATTGAAATGTCAATTGAGAGGTTCACGAATACACTTTCGATGATGTATAACAGTATATCCAGTAACACAGGTATTTGCTATTACAGTATACTATTATAGTATTAATAGTACTATTAGTAGTAGTACTACTACCTCTATTTTATTTCGATTATTAATATTAACGTTACTAATAGTAATGTTTCAAATAAGCTATGAATTTAAGGTTACAGGTATAGATTCTTTCTTTGGTCCAGAGGTCTATTACAAAATACTATGGGTCTGTCTAGATCAGGCACAACATACTACTAGTATTAATAACGTTACAGTACAGTAAGTGGCTCGAAATACAGCTTACATCGGTTTTTATCTATTTTCAATGCAGTTGGTCAATAAAAAAACTGCGAATGGATTCTAATAAATCATCCATGTAAAGTGTCATTACCGGAGAATGTTATTGTTGTGTTTATTCTAAACTGGAGAATGAATCGACACAACCAAATGTACAGAAGAATTGGCACAAGGATTTAGCCAATCAGGTTGCAGGAAACCATCATCAATGTCAAATTAGTGTATGAATTCAATTAGTGTGATACCTATCACCACACGACATCTTTTACGTACAAAATTCAGTATAATAATGAATCGATCCATAGATTTGGCGATTCAACACAAAAGTCCAAAATTTGGGTAAAAGGACAAGATCTTGATGCAAATCGGCTTCACACTGTCAAATGTACTGTAAGTACTTATACCAAATGAGAAATATATCTCAAAATAGATTAGGGTTTAATTAAGCAATTCTAATTGGACAAAAATGTCCGTTTCCTTCAACGAAATGAACCAAAAAATTATCTTATGGAGGTTAACGCAAAGGTTTACCGTTCTCTAGTATTCACCTGGCTTCAAATGTGTCTTTTCTCCAAGGGTTCAACGCATGTAAAGTATATTTGAATCGGGATTGGTGCTAAATCACGAGCGCCTATCCGTATATAAGCCAGTAGTTTTACTTTCTCGAAATTCATAGCAGTATTTTTTTATATTTATATTACGATTTGTATTGACCGTGCCCGATAGATAGTTCCTACAATATACGTATGACGTTAGTACAATAGGAATCGAAAACTCGGGTTTTGTACCGAAATACTCCATGAAAATTCCATTAACGTGTTAGTACAGGTGTTAGTACAGGGAGATGCGGGAACTGGACGAAAACTCAACATAACACGAAGTTACGTTACGGGCAAAATCGAGGCATTCATGGTTGGCGAAAGCAAAAGAGCTGGAGTTTCTTCGGAGTCATCCAACTTGTTGGAGAGGGCCTTTGGCTGCTGTACTGACACGATTTATATCGCTCACTGCAAGTGCGGTGCTTGCATTCACAGTCAGAAAACTCGCAATGAAAGCTAAGCAGTTCCGGATACTTCACGACATTTGCGGATGAAATATTTTTATTGCGCATACTGGTATGCATGTTTTATGGTACATGTACCGGAACACACCGTTTGATTTCGTGGAAGCGGCAGGTCCTGGTTGACTCGCACGTGACTACTTGACAGTGAATAAAGGTGCATGTATCCCCTCGACAATGGTACACCATGATTTGAAGGAATCAAGGACCCTTATATTCTCAGAGTGATGAGTTTGTGTCTTGTTTGCGCATCTCCCAGAGTACAGAGTACAGAGCCCAAATATAATCTCATTGTATGTTGTACAAGCTCTGTATTAGTGATTTTTTTAAAATAACGTTAACGTTATAGGAGAGTTTAATTTAGGTACCAACTTCAATTCTGCGAATTTCCACGATTCGTCATGGTAACTGTTACTACAAAATCTATCATACATATTTGAAGATTTGTGTGGTTTTGGACCTCATATTTTTCACAGGCTTCAGGTGTCGCGCACTGTATCAATCAATTCCTTAACACTGTAAACAACAAGTGTGAAATGACTGTGAATCCCCTCGTCAGACAGCCCCAAACTCGAGAGCGTGTGATCCAGTTGTTTACGTCGTGTTTACATGTCACGAATGTGCATTGCTTTGTCCGCGACTTGACCGGGCCTCAAGTCGACGATTGTACCATGGTATTTCTTAATGACTTGAGGACGGTCTAGCACATTAAAACCTTATCACACACAAGCGCTTGCCAAGAGGGCATATTTACGTACTTATTCCTTCCTATGTTGCCGTCCCCAGCGTTGAATTTGGGCGAAACGGCACCTTGTCTTTATCCATGAACAAGGCGGTATACAAATTTCAATATACAAAGTAAACCGACGTCATTCAAGTGGGTATGAAACGTCATGGCAACCGTTCGAATTTAATTGATGAAGAGCATAATTATAATTTCACGGTTTATTTCGATTGATGGGTTACTATTGGACAACGTGGACTTCATTATAATGAATAAAAATTAATTTACTGTTTTCGACTGGTCAAATAGTTGGGCACCGAAATCCACCGACTTGGGTGGCGAAGGGCATTTCGCGATGACTGCGACTAAGGCGACGGCAACGGCGGCTGCCCCAGCGGCTGCAGTAGAGTTTCCGACCTTGACGGAGCTAAAGCATTCCATTCCCAACTCGTGCTTCGAGTCGGATGCCGGCGCCTCGCTCTACTACGTTGCACGGTCTGTGGCGTTGACAGCCGCTCTCATGACTGGCCTCACCTACGCTCGCGCTGCTGTGGCCGACTGGCTGGTGCTGGACGTTGCCGTGTCCCTAGCGTACGTGTACGTGCAAGGTGTTGTGTTCTGGGGCGTGTTCACCATCGGTCATGATTGCGGCCACAGTTCGTTTTCTCGCTACCACAGCCTCAACTTCATTGTCGGCTGCATCACGCACTCCGCGATCTTGACCCCGTTTGAGAGCTGGCGCATCACCCATCGCCACCACCACAAGAACACGGGCAACGTCGACAAGGACGAAGTGTTCTACCCTCAGCGCGAAAAGGACGAGTACCCGCCTACTCGCCAGATTGTGTACACCCTCGGGTTCTCTTGGTTCGTCTACCTCAAGCAAGG